ATACAAGGAAATATATACAATTATATACAAATATGTTCAGGTATGAGCAAAATCCTCTAGCCTCCCCCCACCCCTCTGCAACTCCCACAGCACTTCCCTCAGATCGGACAGTCCCAAGGAATCCCGAAGCTGCTGCTGGAGGAGAGCAGAGAGTGATGAGGGTCAGGAGAGCTCGGGCCTAAGGGTCGACGGTGATGGATGAATGGAGTCCTCCCCGGACGCCGGCCGTGGACGGAAGAGAAGGGAAGGACAAGCAGGAAGGAAGTTGTCTTCTGTGATCTCTGACCTTCCTCTGAGCTTACGTAGATATATGGAATGGAATATCTTTGGCCAATTTTGCTGTCTGTCTAACTCAGCCTCCTACGGGGGGGTCACAGATCTCCCCGTAGTGTCTGAGCCGGCAGAGTGAAGGTGCGACCTTGAAGCCTCAGTAGTTAGAAAAACATTCCACTGTCTTATCAGCTTTAGAAGAACACACTGTTGCTAGTTAAAATAAAGCTTACTGAAGGAAAAAAAATCAGTAAAAGGAAAATTGGCTTCATCCTGACTCAAACCAGGACACTGAAGAAAAAAAAAAATCAGTAAAAGGAAAATTGGCTTCATCCTGTCTCAAACCAGGACAATTCTCCCATCAGATATTTATGTATTTTGATAAAATCCTCCTGAGCCTTTTCTTTTCCTGGCTGAACAATCCCAGCTGTCTCAGTTTCTTGTATGGGAGATGCTCCAGTATGCCCATGGGGAGCCCGGTACTGGAGAAGGCACTCCAGGTGTGGGCTCACCAGTGTTGAGCAGAGGGGAAGGATCACCTCCCTCAATCTGCTGGCAATGCTCCTCCTATGCAGTCCAGGATGTTATTTGACTTCTTAGCTACACATGTACATAATACTTCTAATTAATGACAAAATACTTAAAATTTACAACATATATGATCTATAAAGGTTATGAATTGGAAAATAGTGTTGCAGTATTGCTACATGATTTAGGACAGGATGTATGCACCCATTTTAACTTCAGTACTTCCCAGGAGCTTAACCAATTTGTTCCTTATTCTCAGTCTCTTTCCACCTCTGTGGTAGTTTCTTATCACCTTCTGTGTGGTCAGAAACTAGATTTATCCCTCTACCTACAGCTCTTTTATATGCACATCCCCAATCTTATTTGGGCTTTGTCTCAAAACTCATTTTATTCAATTAGATTTTCTTCAATAAACTTCTAATCCCATATCCACCAATTCTGGACGAACTTTAATTAAAAGACATAAAATTATTTGCAATTAGAAAAAAAACCAAAACAAAGTAGTGTGTGTTGAAAAGCAAATTTCCCCTACACATGCATAATGCAATCTACCACATTCATTCTGCCTTCTCATTTGCTGCTGCTGTCCATCTCCTCACATCCGTACATTACAACTTTTTGTTCCCAAACTAACTAGACCATGAACTGCTAGAGATTGCAACAGCATTTTCTCATACTGTGTAACTGTGAAGCACCAAATGAATCAGTAGCACTCTTTAAAGCAATTTATGGCTTGGTCTGTGTGGAATTCACACGTAATCTTTACTAAAAGTAGCACTTCTAACATTATTAAAAGTCAGAAACATTATACATGTTTATCAAATACAACTGTAACAAATAAAAAGCATTAAAAAAGCTCTACCAAACAAGATGCTTTAAAGTAGTAGAATTCCCAGGCCCACTGTATTTGCACAATCCTAGTAGCTTCAACTGAAATCCATGCAAGTGTACAAGCACCTTCCCTTTCCGCTTATACAACATCAAAGTTTTAAGGAGGTATGAAAATGGATAGGGGGAAGAAAAATCAAAATAGATCTTCAAATTCTGGCCTTATTAACAAATCTGGAGAAACTGCCTTTCTCCAAATCACACAAATCAAAATGAAACTTTTATTTTTACTTCAGTGGGTTTTTTTAAACCTAATTGTTTTGTGTACTTCTGCCACATGGAATTGGATCGTTGGATCTTGAGATTGTGCTAGTGTCTACATTTAGCCTGTATCCATGGCTAAAGTATAGCAGTTGGTCTACCACCTGATAACCCCTTCCCATTCAAGAAGGGGAATTAGAAAAAAGAGAAGAGGCTTGTGGGTTGAAATGAAAAAAGGTTTAATGAAATATCAATACTAAAACCAACATAAAGTATACAGGATTATACCCAGCCTACACAAGAAGCAGAAGTCCAAGGAAGAAGAGCTCACTGTTCTTAGCAAGCCTTCCTCTTTATAATGAACATGACATTTATGGTATGGGATACACCTATTAGCTTGTGTCAGCTCCCAGCTGACTCAAAATAGCTAATAGCCTGCCTACCATGGCTGGCCTATGATTCTATCCCAGCAAATCAGGATAGCTAGTAATTTAAATAATTTTAATAAATGAACACTGACAGAGGAAGCATTTGTAAATGGGGCATTATAGACAGATTATGGTTTAGAATGTTTTCCTGATGTGTTGTTCTTTGTGTCACCCTTTACAGAGAATGTGGGGCAATGCAAATCTCTGGACTACCAACACCTGCCTGCATACAAGTTCTTAGAAGAAGGGGAATCTTATTCAATGCTGGCTGTGGAAGTAGCATTGATGGGGTTGGGACAGCAACGAGTAATGCCTGATGGCTTGTATGCACAAGAGAAGATTTGTCGAAATGAGGAGCAGCTCATTTCTAAGCTACAGGATATCACACTGGATGATACTATGGTGAAGATTTTTCGAAAACAAGCAGTCTTCCTATTAGAAGGTAGCTCAATGTAGATCATAACTGTTTCTTTAAACTGTCTTCTCTTATGCAAGTCCACAGAATTAGTATTCCAGTGGAAAATGCTTTACCTGTTATTTGATGTGGAATTCCAGCAAAATTTTCTTTCTAGTTTCTTATGAAAATGAAACATACTTCACATATCACATGACTGTAGAGATAAGACACCTACTAACCTATAAGCCTTTTATTTTTTCTGTTGCATTTAGTTCTTTAGATTTGTTGCTTGTCATAATCTCAGTATCCTAATTTTACAACTCAGGCTCACAATTAAATAACATAGACATCAGTTATCATCAACAGTTCTAATTAGGTAGCAAATTTTTAAATGTCACTTGTATCCTGAAAAAGGACTGGTAGCTTTGTAAATGTATGAAGATTTTTACCTCTGTTGCCAAGTGAAGAGCTCAGAAACTTCATGTAGAATTACTGGGACTGAAATATAGCATTTTCTTTGTAGCAGCTGGGAAAATGACTTGTCTCTGAAGTTTGTATCATACATGAAAATTGAAATATATGGTTAAATACTGAGGCTTAAGGTCTTGTGACTAAATTTTGATTAAGACAAAAAACTTGTGTTTGGGAATTAGCCAGCATGTTGCAATAAAATCTGTACCAAAAAAAGTGCATGCTTTTGCCTTAACTTTTAAAAAGGCTTAACATATAGCACTTAAGCCTCATGTTGAGAGAGTAGTCTTGTGGGTTCTCAGGTGGTCTTTCTAGTTTTTGTTTTTTGAAATGGAAGAAAATACTTTAAAGGAACCTAAAGGCATGGTCCAAATTTTGAGTGCTTGCTCAAGGGATGGTGGGGATTGTGATACTGCTCTAAGTAAGTTGTGAAGACTGTTACACAGCAGTCAGATTTTGCTTTCTTTCTGTAAAATATTTGTCTTTTAAACTACTTTAATGGAAGAGATGCAGTATGTTATTTAGAGTTCTCAGCTTTGAGTAACTATTATTGCCCAGATCCTTAAAGACTTTGGTACCTACAGATGGTGCCATTTGAAACTGCAGAGAAACTGCATCATAGGGAGAGTTTCAATTATGGTGTGGCTGTAACCACTGTTTTATGGCTTTTGGACAAGAACAGCTGCTTGCTGGATCCAGCTATTAACCACCATAGAGGGATGCTATAGATTATAAAATCAATTTCCTGCTTTTATTTACTGGTGAGGATGAACAACCTTGCTTTATGACGAAAAGGCAAGATTTCTCTCAAGTATTCTCTGATACTTCGTTTACTACTTTGATCTCTGACTTTTTTTTTTGTTTTCTTAGAGTAGTAAACAAGTGATCATAGCAGATAATCTGCTAAAATAACTACTTATACAATTGCTGTGGTGAGCAGTGTGCAACGATGGTCTTTCATCTGTGTACTGAAAAGGCTTTTCTGCAATAGCTTCAGTTTACTCCAGGGTAGGCAGAAACTGCCAGCTCACATGGAGGAAAAACTGTGTAGTGATTTAAGATCCTAATCACATCAATTTTGTTTTTATAGTGAAAGTCCTATAGATATAATAAAGAAAGCTTAATCCAATATTAAGCTGATTTCTATGCTGTTAATGCAGATTAATGCATGCTGTATGTAGCTACCATTTGAATGTGTGGGAAAGCAGAACATAAGAATGTGTTGCAAGAAGTGTTCTAATTTTTTGCTTGACTGCTAAGTTAATGGCAGAATATATTTTCATTTAAATGCTTTTTGTGTATTCTTCATGTCCTGAGTTTCTGACTAGACCATCAACTGGCCCACATACATGAAATGGCTTATTTAATTGAAGCAATGCCAGCCAGTTTTTTGAATGGCTTTTAACTTCATTTTAAATTATTGAGAGACACACTGTCACCTACTTAATAGTCATTGAGGTTTCCTTTGTGATCAGCCCCAGTCTTCAAAAATGCCCACCTATGGAGCTCAGTTGTTTGATTTTTTCATGCCTAGTGATTTTTATCTTTGCATTTTTGTGCTAAGGCACCAGTCAGAAAAACATTGCTGAAACAGCTGTGCTGGTCCAAGTTGTTACCATCTCTCTCTCATGGAGTTCATCATTCTCTGCAGCAAAAGTGGTTGAATAAATGTTGTGAGTACTCTTCATCTGCTTCAGTGTAGGGTCGGCCATATTAGTTTGAACCACTGCTAGAAGCTATGATGTGTTACTGCAGTGAAGAAGTGTGCTCTCACAGTCATTCATCCATCCAAGTGTGGTGGGTTGTAATTTGTAGTAGGAGATGAAGTAGTAACTTCTAGGATTTCTGGCTCCTATTTGTGCAATAATTGTCAAATAATACTTAATGTAAGATTCTTATTCAGTATCTTGCAACATTTAATGCCTGAACCTCTATCCACTGATGTAAAAAACTGCTTGACACAGTTTTCCTATTAATAGGAATAACAGTCTTAAGGTTGCAGGAAAAATGTGAAAATGGAATTCATATGCACCATGAACATTCAGAACTCAGCAAACAAATAATTGTATTTAATTTTTTTAAAATCATAATTTCTGCTGTCAATTTTGACATTGCTGTTATGAAGTTTAAGTACTGCACTGGCTGCAGTGAGTTTAAACAAAATCCATTGCCCCAATGATGGGAAGTTTCCCTATAAAAACCCACAATTTGTAAGATTGTGTGGTTCTAATAGACTAACAAAAGCAGCTTGGATGCAAGCTCTCACTTAGTTTCCTCTGGAGATAAAGTCCAGGCCAAAGGGTTATTAAATGCCTAATGTCAGGTGAGAAATTGATAGGGATCAGCTGCAGCTCTAATGATTGGTCAGGTAACTTCAATTAAGGATACATGTTTTTCCACCGTGTCACTGTTTGACTCAGGTCCGACAACAATGCTCTCGATCCCCTCCCCCTCCCACCCAGGTAGGGAAGGAGAGAGAGAAAAAGAGGCTTTGCTGGATTGAAAACTAAACTACACAGCTTTAATTAAACACTAATGATATGAGAAAATATATACAATTATATACAAATATGTTCAGGTATGTGCAAAAGCCTCTTGCCTCCCCCCACCCCCAGCAACACCCACAGCACTCTCCCTCCTTAGCTGCAAACATTCCCGATGAATCCCGGACTGCTGCCGGAGACTGCTGTCTCCTTCACTGGAGACATTGAAAACCCACCTGGATGCGTTCCTGTGTGATGTACTCTAGGTGACCCTGCTCTTGCAGGGGGGGTTGGACTAGATGATCTTTCAAGGTCCCTTCCAACCCCTAAGATTCCATGATTCTATGAAAGCGCTGAGTTATGAGGGTTAGGAGAGCTCAAGCCTAGGGGGCAACGGTGATGGATGCATTGAGTACTCCCCGGATGCTGGCCATGGATGGAAGAGAAGGGAAGAAGCAGAAGGAAGGAAGTTGTCTTCTGTGATCTCTGACCTTCCTCTGAGCTTACGTAGATATATGGAATGGAATATTTCTGACCAATTTTGCTGTCTGTCTAACTTAGCCTCCTACGGGGGGGGTCATAGATCTCTCCGTAGTGCCTGAGCCGGCAGAGTAAAGACATGACCTTGAAGACCCAGCAGTTACATTCCATTCTTATCAGCCTTAGAACACACTTGTGCTAGTTAAAAGAAAGCTTACTGAAGGAAAAAAAAACAACAGTAGAAGGAATATTGGCTTCATCCTGGCTCAAACCAGGACATTCCACCCCTTATTCTATACCAGATATTACATATAGGCTTTATATTTTACCAGCTGTCAAATGAAGGATTCTCGACCAGAGTCATATTAGCTTGAGGTACACATTGTACTTCACCATCCTCCATCATCACACACCAGGTATGTCCAGGGCCCTGAGCAAAAGCAATACCCCGGACAGGTTTACCTTTGCCTGAAGCAGGATACACCCAAACACTTTTACCCAGCAGGTTTCTTTCACATACCACAAGGACTTTATCCCCATCTGCAGTATGTAAACGCATTCAGGGTAGCCTTCAACAAACCATTGTTCCTTTCAACTTTCCCTGAGGCTTGTGCATAGTATGGGATATGGTAGATCCATTCAATACCATGCTCTTTAGCCCAGTCAGTGACAAGACTGTTTTTGAAATGAGTCCCATTGTCTGACTCAATTCTCTCTGGAGTACCATGACTCCACAAAATTTGCTTCTCAAGACCCAGGATAGTATTCCAGGCTGTGGCATGGGGCACAGGATATGTCTCCAACCATCCTGTGCTTGTTTTCACCATTGTAAGCACATAGCGCTTACCCTGGCTGCTCTGAGGCAGTGTGATGTAGTCAATTTGCTAGGCCTCCCCAAACCTGTACTTTGACCACCCCCCCTCATACCACAAAGGTTTCAACCGTTTTGCCTGCTTAATTGCAGCACAAGTCTCACAGTCGTGGATCACCTGTGCAATAGTGTCCATGGTTAAGTCCACCCCTCGGTCACGAGCCCATTTGTATGTTGCATCTCTGCCCTGATGACCTGAAGCATCATGGGCCCATCGAGCTAGAAAGAGCTCACCCTTGTGTTCCCAGTCTAAGTCTACTTGGAACACTGGAGCAGCCTCATCTGCTCGTTGGTTGTGTC